TGACGAAGTGCTAAAAACCTATTTTGGAGAAAAGACAGCCTTTTTAACAAATGGTGCTGGGGAAACTGGATAGCTATATGTAGAAAAATTAAACTAGACCCATGAATCTCACCCTGCACAAAACTCAAATTGAAATGGATCAAAGACTTAGGAATTAGAACAGAAACCTTACAATTGCCAGAAGAAAACATAAGGTCAATACTCTATCATATAGGTGCTGGCATTGACTTCCTTAGCAAGGACCCCAAAGCATAAGAAATAAAACTAAGAATCTATAAGTGGAATGCCATCAAATTAAAAAGCTTCTGTACAGCAAAGAAAATGATTAAGAGTGTGAAGAGAGAGCATACAGAATGGGAAAAAATCTTGGTCAGCTGCTCCTCTGATAGAGAATTAACATCTAGAATATACAAAGAATTCAAAAAACTTAACACCAAAAAAACCAAATAGCCCAATCAATAAATGGGCAAAATAACTAGAGAGAAACTTCTCAAAAAAAGGAAACACAAATGGCCAATAAATATATGAAGAAATGTTCAACGCCTCTAGCAATCAGGGAAATGCAAAACAAAGCTACACTAAGGTTTCACCTCACTCCAGTCAGAATGGCAAGGATCAAAACCACAAACAATAGTAAATGCTGGTGAGGCTGTGGGGAAAGAAAAGATACACTTGGACATTGTTGGTAGGACTGCAAACTAACACAACCACTTTGGAAAGCAGTATGGAGATTCCTCAAAAAGCCTGGGATGGAACCACCGTATGACCCAGCTATCCCACTCCTTGGTATTTTCCCAAAAGATCTAAAATCAGCATATGACAGCAACATGTCACATCAATGTTTATAGCAGCACAATTCATAATAGCTAAATTAAGGACTCGGTCCATTCATCTATTGACAAGCATCTAGGTTAAGAAACTGTGATATATACATACATATGTATATCATATATATATATATATATATATAAAATGGAGTTTACTCAGACATAAAAAAGAATAAAATTATGGCATTTGCTGATAAATGGATGGAAATGGAGAATATCATGCTAAGTGAAATAAGGCAAACTCAGAACTCAAAGATCAAAAGTTTTCTCTCATATGTGGAAAAATAAAGGAAAGAGGGAGGAAAGGATAGGATAACATTAGAACCACTCAAATATAAATCAATAGAGAAGCAAAAGGAAGTCTAGTAGAGTAGAAGAAGGAGAAAGGGAGGGGGAGGAGAGATAGGAGGTGGAGGAAGATGGAATCAACAACTGAAACAGAGCTGAGCATGGGTCAAGTGCAGTGGTGCAGGCCTGTAATCCCAGTGGCTCGGGAGGCTGAGGCAGGAGGATCACGAGTTCAAAGCCAACCTCAGCAACTTGCGGTAAGGCACTTAGCAAATCAGTGAGACCCTGTCTCTAAGTAAAATATAAAAAATGTCCAGGGATATGGCTCAGTGGTTAGAAAGGTCACAGGACATAAAGACAACAACAACAAAAATTTCCATTACAAAATGAACAATTGGAAACTGAAATTTAAAACCATATCATGCTAAGTGAACCCAGCCCTGGGTTCAATCTTCAGTATCAAAAAAAAAAAAGGAACTGAAAATAGATTTCCATGCATGTATAAGTTTGTTGGGATGAACCCAACTACTATGTATAACTATGGAGCTCTAATAATAAACAAATAAATAAATTGGACTTCACCAAAACTTTTTTAATATTTATTTTTTAGTTGTAGTTGGACACAATCTCTTTATTTCACTTATTTATTTTTATATGGTGCTGAGGATTGAACCCAGGGTCTTGCACATGCGAGGCGAGCGCTTTACCACTGAGCCACAACCCCAGCCCCACACAAAAACTTTTTAAAAAGTTATATTACAGAAAAATTTTAGTTTCAATGAAGTCTAATTTATCAAATTTTTATTCTATGGATTTGCACTTTTGGTTTAATATCTAAGATTTTTAATGTTTCTTACATAAATTTTGTAGTTTGGCATTTTAATATGGATCCATAATCAATTTTGAGCTGACTTGCATATAAAATGCATAAAAAATTTTTATGTAATTTCTCTACAAGAATTTTATGTAAGACATGAGATTTAGTTCATTTTTTTAAACATATGAATTTCCAAATGTTTCAGTTTCAGCAGTTGAAAGACTTTCTTTAATCCATATGGTTATCTTTGCACTTTTGACAAACAGCAGTTGGCTATACCTGTGTAGGTTTATTTCTGGACTATTCCATTGATCCATTAGTCTATTTCTTTGCCAATAACGTTTTATTTTGACTTCTGTAACTTTAGGTAGTCTTAAATAGTAGTGATATGAGCACTGCAACTTTATTCTTTTTGAAAACTATTTTGGCTATTCAAATTCCTTTGGCTTTCCATATATATATATATATATTGTGTGTGTGTGTGTGTGTGGTGTGTGTGTGTGTGTGTGTATGTGTGTGGTGTGCTGGGGATCGAATGCGTGCAAGGCAAGCACTCTACCAGTTGAGCTATATCCCAGCCCTCCATATAATATTTTAATCATTTTGTTTATATTTACATAAATAATGCCATATAATGATAGGGTTTACACTACACCTATAGCTCAATTTGGGGAGACTTGCCATCTTTACTGTTTTAAGTCTTCCCAGTTTGAACGTGGTGTTTCTCTCCATTTACTTTGCGGCTCCCTGGTTTCTTTTAGCCTAAGCATCTGTAGTTTTCAGCATCTGTGGGGGGCCATCCTCGCACGTGATTTGAGTTCCCTCCCTGGCTGGGTGAGAGGCGCTTAGGCACAGCTGTGTCAGAGCTTTCCCCACCCTTCTCCAGGTCTGAGGGCTTGTCCGTGCAGAGGCGTGTCTGGCCACTGCCCTGAAGACCCAATCGTCCCCCCTGACCTTGGGATGCTGCCCCCCTTAATATTCACCGGATGGGATTTTCCCCAGAATTTTTTGTTCCCCAATAAAAGTCCACTCCCTGGCGTGTTCTCTCTCACTAGCCTCTTTAGTGACCTTGCTACCGCATTAGGTGGCTGGAGGCAGGAGCTAGGAGGAGCTGTCCTGGAGCTGGTTTAAAAGGTAATTAGAGTCTTGTCTCTTTAATTTAAAACTCCCTAGTGGTTTCTCACGACTTGAACCTTCTTTAATGAAGCCAGCGCAGGTTGTTTGGCAGAGCACTCAAATGCTGTCCATGTTTTGTTAGACTTATATTTACGCATTTCATATTTTGAGGGGACATATTATAAACGATATGGTTTTAAAGTTCAGTTTCCAATTGTTCATTTTGTAATGGAAATTTTTGCTGCTGTTGTCTTTATGTCCTGTGACCATTCCTAAACTCATGTATTGATTTTATGAACTTTTTGGGTCAAGTTCTGAGGTCTTTCTATTATAGACAGTAGTCAACTGTGATAGCTTTACTTCTTCCTCTCCAATCTACATGCTTTTACTTCTTTCTTTTTCTTGTCTCATTGCTCTAGCATCCAGAAGGATGTTGGATGGGAGGGGAGAGTGGACAACCACCCTTGTTCCTGGTCTTGGGGGGAGTATTCAGACTTCTACTATGAAGTGCAACATACTTGAGTTTTTGCAGGTGTCCTGTTTAAGGGTAAGAGAGTTGTCTCCTATTCCTAGTTAGCTGAATTTTTTAAAATCATGAATGGATTGTGAATTTTATCAAATGGTTTTTCTGCATTAATTAATAAGAAGGTATGGATTTTCCTCTTTAGTTTCTTAAGGTGATAGATTATGTTGATTGATTTTTAAAACTTGTTCTTTTTAGATATATATGACAGTAGAGTGTATTTCAACATATTATATGTACATAGAGTATAACTTATTCAAATTAGTGCCCCATTCTATTTTTGGGGGGCTATTGGGGATTGAACTCAGGGGCACTCAACTACTGAGCCACATCCCCAGCCTTATTTTGTATTTTATTTAGAGACAGGGTCTCACTGAGTTGCTTAGTACCTTGCTGAGTTGCTGAGGCTGGATTTGAACTCGTGATCCTCCTGCCTCAGCTTCCGGAGCCCCTGGGATTACAGGCATGTGCCCTTGTGCCTGGCTAGGATCCCGTTCTTGTGGTTGTACATGATATGGAGTTTCACTGGTGGTGCAGTCATTTGTGAACATAGGAAATTATGTCTGATTCATTCTACTGTCTTTCCTATTCTCATTCCCCCTCCCTTCCCTTCATTCCCCTTTGTCTAATTCACTGAATTTCTATTCTTCCTTCCCCTCTTATTGCGTTTTAGCACCCTCAAATCAGAGAGAACATTGGCCATTAATTTTGGGGGAATTGGCTTATTTTGCTTAGCACAATAGTCTCCAGATCCATCCATTTACTGGCAAAATTCATAAAGCCATTCTTTTTTATGGCTGAGTAAGATTCCATTGTGTATATATACCACATTTTCTTTATCCATTCATCTGCCAAAGGACACTAGGTTGGTTCCATAGCTTAGCTATTGTGAGTTGAACTGCTATAAACATTGAGGTGGTTGCAGTGTTGATTGATTTTTAAAACTGAATATTGAACTAGCCTTACATTCTTGGAAGAAATCCCATCCTCTCTCTTTCTATCCTGGGCTTCACTCTGGGTACACATTACTTCCATCAGAAGCTGCCAGAACTCAAAGTTTTAGAGAAAAACTCATACCAGTCCCCAAGAAAGGCAGGATCATAACTTTTTTCTAACAAATTGAGTGAATGTAGTATATTCTTGGTTATCAAAGATACTCATGTAGCTTTGGGATTTGAATTGGTGAATATTCATGACGTGGGCAAAGGCACGATACACACTACAATCCCAGTCACACAAAATGTGATGCTGTGTATCAGGCTTTTCCACGTGCATGTCCTGGAGGGACTGTCCGACCAAGCTGCTGGTGCCTGGATAGCTTTGCTCTTTGCTTGTGTTTTTCTATTTCCTGTAATGTACATGGTAACTTTTATTTTAAAAATTAAAGTTATTTTTTTTTAAAAAAAAAAGAAGAAAGAAAGACTCATACCTGATTCCATTTTCTCCTTTTTCTGGCTTCTTATTAAGCCCATCCTTTACCTGAGAGAGAAAAAAAAAATAGAAAAACACTTCCCATATCTCAACCATTAGAATCAGTTCACGTGAACATTTCAGCCCTGAGGAGAAGGACACGACCCTCATCCCGGGAGTTAAGGCATCATGAGCACCGGGGAGGCTCCCTTCAGCCCTGCTCTTCTTCCAGGCTAACCTGTACCTTTAGGAGTCTTGATCCTCGACTGCCCATGGTGCCAAAGAACACTACTCCCAAGGATTTAGGACAAGCCACTCAACAGCTCCCTAACTAAGCCAGTGACCAAGGGAATCAGCTGCAGGTCGCAGTTTCGTGGAGGCTTACTTACACCCCCGAACAGAGAGCCCGAGTCTCCCTCTCGAGTTCAGTGCATCCCTCCTTTGATGCTCAATGGCATCATGTGTGTGTCTCCATGTTCTTATCAGATATTTTGTATGGATTTTATTGCTTGTATCTGAAATACTCTGTTTTTTTAGAGATTGCTCTAATTTGATGCAAATTTTTTAAAAAATGAAATTAAAGATATATTTAAAACTTTGTCTCAAAAAGACCCTGAGAACACACCTATGTACTATGACACACACACACAAATGTGCATACATAGCGCACACGCATGTGCACACATACACATCATACCATGCCCAGTTCTTTTTTAAAAAATTAATTAATATTAGCCCTTCCTACCCACCAAACTGTTACAGGAAGTCAACTGACTTGTGTTCTTGAAAAGGGTAGAAGCTGAGGATTATCTGAGGTCAAACGAAGTCACACCAATAGCAAGCTGTGTGGCCAGTATCACAGTCGCTAACAGCATCAGTGTCAAGGACTCACCACTCGGTACTGACTAGGTGCCCACACTAGAAGGGTGTAGCGATGGCCCTTCTCAAAGTCCTGAGTTACTGTTGAGACTGGTGACCCGGTGGAAGAAATGTTGATGCTTGTCAGCTTGTTTACATCAAAAGGCATATATTCCTTGGTCTGAGGGTAGAGGGAGGAGTCAGAGTCAATACCAGGGTCCTGTTATGCAACGTGCATTTGACCTTTGCGATAGCATGTTATTTGACATACAAGTTTCCAAGTTCATGTTCACACACACCGAAAATGCCTTGTGGAGAACTGAAGTTTATTCCTCTTAGCCTCCCAATAACCTTCATGAACTGTCATGAAGTTTTTTAGTATTCCACAAGATTCTACTTTTCATCAAGCATTTTAGTTATTATTTTTTTAATATTTATTTTAGTTGTAGTTGGACACAATACCTTTATTTTACTTATTTTTATGTGGTGCTGAGGATTGAACCCAGGGCCTTGCACGTGCCAGGTGAGCGCTCTACTGCTGAGCCACAACCCCAGCCCCTTACTTACTGTTTTATAAAAATAAGTGCTGTGGAAATGATTTCTACCATTGCACAAACAACAGCATCAGGGGAGAAGCAAGAGCCCTGGTGGGACTCAATCCTGGCTGTCCCAAGCATCGGGACTCAGACTCTTAACCTTCAAGGTTACTAGTTTGGCAGGGTCTAAGGTAATGGATCCAACCGTGACTGATGAGGAATTAGAGCGGCTCATGTAATCTTGGGGTTAGGACCCAGGTATCAAAATTTTCAAAGCTCTCCATGTGATTCCAGTCTGGATTTAAGATTGAGAACCAGAACAATGCTGTCAAGAGCAGGGTTTTCTGACCTTGGCACTGCTGACCTTTGAGCGAGATAATTCTTTGTCACGGAGGACCATCTGTCAACATCACTGACTCCTACATATGAGATGCCAAGAGCATGTTCCTAGTCACAATGACAAAGAGTATCTGTAGAGGTTGCCAAATGTCCCCTAGGGGAAAGTCACCCCTTTAGAATGTGGACCTTCCCTGATGTTTGGAGTGTGGTTTTTGTGTAGCAACAGAAGCAGAACCCAAGAGCTTGTGGGCACACAGCATTGCAGATGTGCTGACTTAGAACCTGAGTTCTCAAGAGCTCCCAGGGCATCTGCACTTCCACAAAAGCTGGAGGCCTGCTGGTTTAGGGTACATGACATCAAGAGATTTGGACATTTCCCTCCTGGGCTGGTCTCGGGTAGTATCCAAGGACCAAGAGAAACACCTTCTCCAAATCCTATTATAACTCAGGCCAGAAGATGAAAAAGAAAGTGACATTTCCCTCCACTTACTTGAGACATTTGGCCAAGTGTCACCATCTCTCCAGGAAAAGATATAGTCATATTATCATTTCCTATATTCAAGACTTTAATTTGGACTTCGTTTCCTTGGGGGAAGACTGGAAGAGTTTTCTGAGGGGGAAAAAAAAAAGCAATAGACAGTGAGGTCTTCAGGGATCACTGAAGATCATCCACATCCCCCTTCTGGGTCACTGAGGATCATCTACATTCCTTCAGCCCTTGAAAGCTGCACTGGCAGATACGCCCCCACCCCACTACCCAAATTGATCACTTCACTGGCCTCCTGGCAACCAGAGAAAAGGAGAATTTGGAAGTAACTGGAAAGAACTGCTCTTGCCTCATTTAGCCACCTCTAGGTCAGCAGAATCCAAGTTATGAAGTCTAATATTGGAGGGGGTCAGAGAAACTGCAGTCTTAAGGAACATGTCTCCATCAGGGCACCTGGGGTCTGCTCTCTCTGACTCCTGTGTCCTCTCTTACAGCTCTGGAAGCTCCATCCATAGCCTGGACACGGTTGGTACTTTGGCTATCTTCTCATAAATGCTTTCTGTCCTTGTGCCTCCACGCCTGTGCTCATGATTTCTGGTCTTTTTTCTGCTCTGCTGTCTGTTAAATGCAGCGCCACTGGGGCGATGCATGTCCACATCAGGCCTCGCTTCATCTTCCACCAAGCTAGCTATGGGCACGAGAGCAGGAGTACACGCATGCTCACAGCAGCATCGTTCACAAGAGCCAAGGGGTGGAAGCACCCAGGCGTCCATGGACAGATGAACAGATAAACCAAATGTGCGGTACCCACATAGTGGACTATCATTTAGCTTTAAAAGGAAGGAAATCCTGTTACAACCTGGATAAACCTGGAGGACATTATGCTAAGTAAAATAAGCCCATCGATAAAGGACAAACACTCCGAGATCCCACTTAGAGGAGGTGCCTGGAGACAGGAAGTGAGACGTGGTTGCCAGGACGTGTGGAGAGCTGCTGTTAACGAGTACAGAGGTTCATCTGGGAAGATGAAGTTCTGGAAGCAAATGGCAGGGATGGTGCTAATAGCGTGGATGTACTTAATGCCCCTTAAAAATGGATCAGATGATGTTTTTCATGTTAGCATATTTACCACAATTAAATTTTTAAAAAAGAAATTAAAAGAGAAAGGTGGGGAGAGAGAAACAAAGTAAAGACACAGAAATAGAGAGCGAAGCCCTCTCACCTCTTTTCTGGCACCACATGCCCCCCACTTCTAGAACCAACGTCTGATCTCTTCTAATGAAGCCCACACATCGACCCCCTTCCCAGCTGCACCCTTGCAGGGGTGAGTCCACAGTGTTTACGGACTAACAGCGACTGTTCTGCCCCTTGCCTCTCACCATCTGCAGCTCCAGGGCTTAGACCTCCACACAGGGGGAGATCCTGGTCTCCCCTAATCCTCTAGACCCAGAAGGAGAAGATCTGAGTGCGCTGCCTGAGCCCAGCAGCAAAGGACGCTGGAGACTCAAGGAAAACTCACATCAATTTCCACCTGCACAATTGCAGCCACCACAAAGGCCATGGAAGCCAGGAACATCCCAACTGTCATCTTCTTCAAGGAGCTGATTGGGACAAGAAGAAAGTGAGCCTCAGCCAGTTCCATATGGATGCACTAGGGGGGGGGGGGGGGGGGGGGGGGGGGGGAAACGCTCCCCCAACAAGACTGGCTTTCTTATAGAGGCACATGCGCTGGAAAGTGTCTCTCCCCTTATTCCTATTGAGACTACGGAGGGCCCATGAAATGCAACTTTTTATTTGCATTTTTACATTTAATTTCTAGAAACTACAGTTCAGGTGGTACTCGGAATCACAGTGAACATTTTGTCATCTACATACAAAGGAGAACCTTAATTAGAGGCCTTTTCAGGCTGCCATCAATACAATTTTGTTTTAAAAGATTTCAGAAATATCAGCATACAAATATCTGATTTATTCATTTCCTTTAAAACCCCGCCATTGAGGTGGCTGGTGGGAGGGACATCCTCCTAATGCACTAGGGGGCAAAGAGGGCGCAGCCCCTGGAAGGTGTCTCAACCATCCCAAACCAACCAGGCACCTACGTGAAATTGAAGCCACATTTTGCAATCAGAGGGTACACCACAGCATCTACGATGGGGACCATGATGACAATCAAGATGGCATTCACAGTCTGCAGAGGAAGCAAGGGAAGATGTTAACACAGGCTTGAGGGCCACCTGGATCTCTGAAAGCAACATGTTTTCTGCTTACCTGCATCTGATCCGGCTGAATTTCAATAACTCCCTAAAAAGAGGTGTGAAGGGTCACATTAAAAAATGTCATGAAAGGGAAGGATGAAGAAGACAAAGGGACTGAAACAGAAGAGCAGCGACCAGGGAAGGTGAACCACCACACCGGCCCAGACTTACAATTCTCCCGTTCATGGTGGTTGCTTGCAGTGTCCACCGGGAGCCCTAAACACAAACACAGTCACCGCATCAACCGGGAAGGTGGCTTTGAACATTTTACTAGTCATGGTGGATCTTTTCTAAATCAGGAATGAGGTCTGAAATGTTTAAAGTTGTTTGAAACATCAAGCCGGCCTCCAAGCTCCACTATAACGCTAGGTACAAGGAAGCAAGAGCACTTCTGTTAACAAGGGACCTCAACACAGAGCTCCAGCTCCTCGTGAGGACACAGCAAGCCCCACCCTGAGATGAAGCCACCTGCAGCAGATGCCAGTGTGCAGAACTGGGCTGGAGAGCGTGGCCCACGGCAGGGAGGGCAGCTTTGTGCCCTGCGCCAGTCCCCACTCTCTGGCATCAGCATTAACAATGCTGGGATTGTTCAAAGCCGGTTTTGACAGTCTGGAAGTAGACCCACAGCAAGTCAGTGGTGGGTATAAATTTGGGCAGCTGAGTTATCATCCACCTATTCTATGACTGTTTTAAGGCTGAACATGCAAATGTTTCAATATGAATCTCAACTCCACCAGGAGGGAATCATGGAAAGCTGGGAAACCGGCCTGTTTGAGCTCTTAACACATCAGCCACGGAGTACTTTATAGACAGTCTCTTAATTTGATCTCACTGCCTCGAGGTGGGCTCTTGTGACCTGTTCAGAGAGTTACAAGTTTTTACTGAGACTCCCAGCTACTGAAGTCTGATTCCAGAAGGCTCCTATCCAGCTGTGAGGCTGCTTCTCTTTCCCTATGGGGAGGGGGTCTAAACCTCATATTTACAAATAAGGAGATTAATGTGCATGTTCAATTTTTTTCCAAGTGATGATTTACCCTTACAGTGATGCTCGCTGTACAATGAAAACACATATTCGCCATTTTGTTTTTAAACTTCAGTTTCTAAAAGAAACAACATTTTATTGCTTTGGCTGCTGAGCCCCATGCACTGGGCTGATGTTACTGTGCCAGGTTCCCGTGTATGTCCCACAGCTGTGGGACCAAGAGCAGAGCAACAAGCCGCCCATCTGGTCTGGGTCCCTGCTCTGGGGGATGACTCTGGTGTGGTCATTTCACATCACTGGTGGAACTTCTAGTTCAAGCGTCCCATTTTAAAGTGGAAGATATCAGTCATCTCTGTCTAAATGTGCCATGGATCCTGTCAAAGGCCATGCCTCTTTTTGCAAGCCGCATCAGTAGGAAAATAAGCTCTTTTTTTTCTCTCTTTCTTTCCCCATGGTACTGGGGATTAACCTAGAGATGCTCTACAACTGAACTATATCTCCAGTCTTTTTTAAAAACTTTTTAAATTTTGAGACAGAGTCTCATTGAGTTGCCCAGGCTGGCCTTGAACTTGTGACCCTCCTGCCTCAGCTTCCTGAGTTGCTGGGATCACCGTTGTGCACCAACACAATTGGCAGGAAAGCAAACTTTCTTAACCCTCAGTTTTGGTTGGCCAGATTGCTGGCTGCTCTGATGAAATCTTCCCCAAGGCTACTTTACTTGACTACACCTCATTTTCTTCATTGTTTTTCAAGAGAAATGTGGACAGAAGCTTCCAGAATTTTTTTAAACAAATAAACTCAATGTGATCTAACAACTAAATAAATTATACAAAAAAGAAATTGGTAGAGAACGTTTTTAGGAACTAAAAACTAACTATGACTCAGTACATGGTAGTGCCCAAAGTATGTTTGCTAAACAAAGATAATTGGAAGCATTACCTGCTGATCAAACAGGGCCCAGAACATCGGGAGCGGAATATACAGGAACATCACCCTCGTAACCATCTTAATTTGAGAGATAAGCCGCTCCTGTAGGGAGGGACAGATCAGCCATAACTGTGTCACTCAGAGTGTTCAGGCACAGCTTGGTTTCAGTGTTGAGATATTTGCATCTAGAGATGAGTGGGGAGGTGATTAATTGTTCCAAAAAACACTAACATAAGTTTCGGGAAATTTCTAAGCTATTGAAAATATGAGAAAATCTCTGTTTAGGAGGAAAACTCCAACTTGCTACATGTAAATCCACTCAATGTAAATCCCACCACTGCCATCACCACCCCTTAACTTCTATATTCAGACGTAGGGTACAGGATCACAATCACCTATAACTACTGGCAGATTACATCAAACGGAAAGCCAATACTGCTTCAGATAAATTATGTCCATTGTACACTGCTACATCGATGTTCATAGCAGCACAATTCACAATAGCAAGACTGTGGAACCAACCTAGATGCCCTTCAATAGACGAATGGATAAAAAAAATGTGGCATTTATACACAATGGAGTATTACTCTGCATTAACAAATGACAAAATCATAGATTTTGCAGGGAAATGGATGGCATTAGAGCAGATTATGCTAAGTGAAGCTAGCCAATCCCTAAAAAACAAATGCCAAATGTCTTCTTTGATATAAGGAGAGTAACTAAGAACAGAGTAGGGACGAAGAGCAGGAGAAGAAGATTAACATTAAACAGGGATGAGAGGTGGGAGGGAAAGGGAGAGAGAAGGGGAAATTGCATGGAAATGGAAGGAGACCCTCAGGGTTATACAAAAGTACATACAAGAGGAAGTGAGGGGAAAGGGAAAAATAATACAAGGGGGAGAAATGAATGACAGTAGAGGGGGTAGAGAGAGAAGAGGGGAGGGGAGGGGAGGGGAGGGGGGATAGTAGAGGATAGGAAAGGCAGCAGAACACAACAGACACTAGTATGGCAATATGTAAATCAATGGATGTGTAACTGATGTAATTCTGCAATCTGTATATGGGGTAAAAATGGGAGTTCATAACCCACTTGAATCAAAGTGTGAAATCTGATATATCAAGAAATTTGTAATGTTTTGAACAACCAACAATAAAAAATTAAAAAAAAATTATATCCATTGTTTACCAAATTGTTAATTTTTTAAAAGTAGCGCTCATGCCTACTCTTACTTGACGCGCTTACAAGGTCGGGAGGGTACAACTGGTCATTTTACCCATCAGGCTTCATGCTCTGAACTGTGCTTCTCGACACCCCCTCTCTGGAGGAGCTGTAGCAAGGTGGTTACTTACATCATATTTCTCCTTAGCCCAGTCCAGCCAGTGCTCTCTCTTGGGAAATTCCTTACTTCGGTGCCTAAACCTGTTTTTGATAGAAAACTAAAGGAAGAAAAAAAATCAAATTTCAGAACAGAACCAACTATTTCATCAGAGGAATACATATCAATTAATCTCCCCCCTTTAAGGGAAAAATATATGAGAAAATTAAAATATAAAATTGTATATAGCAGCGTAATGAGCATGTTGAAGACACAACTGATGAATTTGTTTCTAGACTTTTTTTTTTTTTTGCCCTGGAGATTGAACCCAGGAGTGCTTCACCACTGAGCCACATCATCCACAGTCCTTTTTATTTTTTATTTTGAGACAGGGTCAAAGGTTGCTTAGGGCCTGCTGGAATTATAGGCATGCCCATTGCACCTGGCTGTATCTAGACTCTTTGCGATTAAGATTAAGGGACTGTCAGGGCTTCTCTCCAGATCCTCTATAGAGGCGTGTACAGTAGGAATACAATGCAAGACTCATTTGCAACTTAAGTTTCCTAGTAGCCAAAGCAACAAGTCAAAGTCAAACAGGCAAAATTTCTTTAAAATATATTTTATTTAACTCAATAATCCCCAAGTATGATTTTAATATACAATATATTAAAAATTAATGAGAATTTAAAATTCTTTTTTCATACTAAGTCTTCAAAATTAGGGGAGTATTTTCTACCTATGGCATATCTCAATTTGGTTGCTAAATTTTTTATCAGAAATATGTCACCTATATTCAGATTTCATTAAGTTTATGTTTGAAAAATTAGATTTACATACTAGGTTGTTCCAAACATACTTAAAAGCTTCCTGATAACTGAATTGAGCCTTGTTTTCAAATTTGAGTAAGAACCCACTACACAGAAATACATATGTAAGAAAATAAAGTAGGGTTGGGATGTGGTTCAGCGGTACAGTGGTTGCCTCACAAGTGATATAGTGCAAAGTCCTGGGTTCAATTCCCTGTACTAGGAAGATAAAAAAGTTATAGTCAAACATATCTCATATTTATAGAGGGTAACAGATCATAGAAACATGCTGACCCATCATGAAATGAGAAGCCACTGAGATTCCTCACCAGTGTTTCTCAAGGGAACTCTTGAGGGAAAGCAAAGTGCATCTACAAGACACAGCAGGGAGGGGGGTGTGGTCACGGCCAGAGACAGGTGGGTGACTAAATGCAACAATCCAGACAGACCTGTGGGCTGATTTTAGGACACAGGGCAGTACAGTTCTCACGACTCTAAGCAGTTCAAAGTTGTTCTTTGGAGGTTTAAACCAAGCTGTCAGTTACTTTCCTCTTTGCCTGGAAAAACCTTTCTGGTGGGAATAGATGGAATGCTAAAGGAAATGGGAAAGCTGCCCCTGAGGCATTGGTTTTTTTTTTGACAAGGAGGGGGCACATGGCAAAATAGACCACATAATCTAATGCAATAAGGCCAGGCAAAAAGGAAGAGCATGATTTCAAGTTATCTTAAGGCCACATTTTCATTCAAAAGATAATCCACATATTAAAAAATAATAAGTGACACATTTCCCCCCAGTTATACAATATATGTGTTCACTAAAAAAGGAGGGTTCTATCGTGTAAAGATTCCTATTCTCAACATTTATCTCCTACATATGAATGTACCTGAATGTACATATCTCATGTAGATGCATATGGAAGAAACCAAATTCTGCATATTCCCATCATTAAATATTCTTTGAAAACAAGACTTGTGATGACTACATGAGATGTCAAAGATACACTGTCAGGTGAGCATCCTTTTCCTCTTTTCAGCAATTTGTTGTATATAATATTACAATGATATCCTTTGTATATGAATCTGCATCCATTTAAAAATTTATTTTCTTAGCCTTATTTCCTGAAAGTAGCATCACAGACCCTTAGCATCTGAGCACTCTTGATACATTGCAAAACTGAGCCCCAACTTTGTTTTACTGCTCCCAAAAAAACAGAAGGTATCGTCTGTCAATTTGATGAAGAGTCATTTTATTGGCTTTTCTTTGACAACTTTAGTTTAAAAGCCATTTCCATTCCTCCCTTTTAGAGTTCTGTTTGTGTGCTTTTCCATTTGGTAAGTTTCATGAGAAGTTTATGATTTAAATTAAAACTTATCAAAATAGGGACACTTAAAATATGTTTAAAGGAAAGTCAAAGTTTAATTGAATTTTAACATAAAGGATGTAGAAGGTTTGGGGGTGATTAAAATGTCATGGAAAGTACTGAAATACTCACACCAATGCATTTGACCACTTTACCCATGATGTTGCCCTGTGGCTGGAATTTTTTGTACATTCTACTGCCGATGACAAATACAACTGGACAGGGGAAAAAAATAAGAACAAACACCAAGGCTTAGTATCATCTATCAACCTCACAGAACCTAGGGCAGCCTGCAGACACCCAGTATAGCTATCTGAGCCAGGCCCTGGCTGTTTAAAGGGAGACAATATGTGCAAGGTGAATGCATTGCTCTCAAAGACAATGAACAGAGCTCTAATTTTCTGGCCACAATGGCAAGTGAGATTTTCTTCTTATCATTATTTTTCTTTTTAATGTTAAGGAAAATAGAAATTAATGTGTTGAAACTTTTACTTAATCATATGTGACAGTTTTCCCCCTGTATTCACTGTACAGAAGCACAGTTATAATTAGGATCTGCATTAAGTTTTGCAAAAGTTGGAAACAGCCATTTTTCATGGATTTTCTTAACCAAGGCATAGTACGAAAATAATGTAGAAAAGAGCATCTCTACAAGAGATTCTGAAAACACAGTTCTTGTGCTAGAATTTTTGATTATCTAATACCATAATTCAATAATTAAAAACACCAATGGATTCTTTCTATTCTTGCCCAATGCCAACCTTTCTCAACACATGGATGGTGAAGATGTCCAATAGATTGTGTCTACATTTTCTTTTGCAAAGGAATATTTCAATTTCTTAATAAACTGAAGCCTAACTGAAGCACAGAAATTTTAGAGATTGTGCTCATATATAGTATTTGGTTGGTTCTCAATTTTTCAATTAAAAAACAAGCATATTGGGGCTGGGGATGTGGCTCAAGCGGTGATGCGCTTGCCTGGCATGCGTGGGGCGCTGGGTTCTATCCTCAGCACCACATAAAAATAAAATAAAGATGTTGTGTCCACCGAAAACTGAAAAATAATATTTAAAAAATTCTCTCTCTCTTAAAAAAACAAAAACAAGGATAAACTTTACCTAAGAATGACCTATACAGACTCAATGAGAATTTACTCAAAGTGCTCAATACAACATCTAGTATAGTAGGATCTTTAAAATGCTCTCTCCTGCCCAGAATTAGAGAGGAGGAACACAGACAAGCATTTTAGGGGAAGGTGGAAGTATTTGAGGATTATGGAAGAAAGAGCCATATTGAAGAGGGGGGAATTCTGAACTCACATAATTGTAACGACAAAGCAAAATTGCTACAGCACAAGCACAGGAGGTTAAAAAAAATCAGCCTACTCAATTCTAGTAAGATCTGAAAACAGAAATGGGAGAAAGCAACGCCAATGCCGGCAGCGCCCTTGCTAGAAAGGAAAAGGTGCCAGGAAGACCCAAGACAGCATTTGACTGTCCTGGCACTGCCATCTTCCTAGCCAGACTGCCCCTTGTAGGAAACCTTCACACTTCCTAAAACGCCAATGCCAAGAACTAATCTAACTGTATCTAATATGTACACATCTTCCTCCCAGAGGGAAGGAATTCCAGTAGAAGCATTTGGGGAGGCTGGATTATGGAATTGTACATGCACAGTGGAAGTATTTCAGTGGCCATTGAACCAGGTTGCCATTTCTTCAAGGGCTGGAGATGTGCACACGTTGACAGGAAGAAAAGCTTCCGGCCACAGGAACAGCCAGTCTAGCAGATTCTACCACCTTCACCTTCCTCTTCCTAATTGGTACCAAACATTTCATGTCCAACTCAGATGGTTCATTTCCCTGCAAACCCTTTTTTTGATCCTATCCACTCTGAAATGAGAGGCCAACTCTGCTTCCTTCTCTCTGAGAGAGCACATTGAACACTGAATGGCAATGCTTCACACTATTTTTTTTTTACAACTCATTATATGGACTTCAAAAATATTAGTCTCAATAATGAATGTGGGGCCTCATCTGGTTGTAGGCTAGTGTTAACTCAAGTAATTTCCACTTACTTAGGGAGACGGCCATGAGAGCAGCAGGAACCCCAAATGCCAGTGGGTAACATGCTTGCTGACTGTGAATTCCACATTGTTGAACTGGGGAGAAAGTATGAGATTAAAATTGATCATGGCATTGGTAATGCATGGATAGTTCCCATTTCTAAAAGCCCCTCACTATTGTTACATAGTATTTTTTTTTGAGAGAGAGAGAGAGAATTTTTTAATATTTATTTTTTAGTTTTCGGTGGACACACATCTTTATTTTATTTGTATGTGGTGCTGAGGATCGAACCCAGCACCCCGCGCACGCTAGGTGAGCGCACTACCGCTTGAGCCACATCCCCAGCCTGCCCTGTTACATAGTATTTTCACTTAAGGTTCAAGACATCCATTTGCCTTACTGATGTCATTGCCAGCTGCATTGTAGAAAGAGCAGGAGATGGAGGCAGATTCTAATCTTAGCCCCTAAATAGATGTGTGTTTGCTGTATGGGTTTTCTAAGTGGGGGAGATAAATATGATCTGGGTACAATGACTCCAATATAAGGGACTCAGTCAATAAAAGCTATGTGCCCTGGAAAGTCAATATCGTATGTCCCTATATGCATGCCAAATAAGTAACCATTAGATGACTTCGGGCAGGGGTTGACAATACTTTCTGTGATATCTTAGGCTAGGTATCTTAGGCTTTGGGGACCATTTGATCTTGGTCACAACTCTTCAGCTCCAGTTTTGTTTTTTTTTTGGTACTGGGATTGAACCCGGGGACACTTAACTACTGAGCTACATCTCTAGCCCTTCTTTTTGTTTTTATTTTTTTGTATTTTACTTAGAGACAGGGTCTCACTGAATTGCTTAGGGTTTCACTAAATTGCTGAGTGCTGGCTTTGAACTTGTGATCCTCCTGTCTCTGCCTCCCGATCCGCTGGGATTACAGTTGTGCGCCACTGTGCCTGGCTTCAGCTCTGCCTTTGTAGGAGGAAAGTAGTCAGAGACAAACCTAAATGATGGTCTTGCCCAGATTTCTGGATCTGGCCCCAGGGCCATTGTTTGCCGACTTCTGACTGAGGGCTATTTCAGCTCTGAAATCTTAGGATTGGTAAGGAAAACTATCAAGGCTTTGTAAGAAGCCAGAGAGATTACTAGAAATCCTTCCGTGGGAGGCTGTGGCCTCCACAGTGATCCAATCTTGTAGGGGTTTTGACTCTGCCTAGCTATTTCACAATTCTTTTTTTTAAATTGTTTTTAGTTGTTGATAGACCTTTATTTATTTAATTTATTTATTTATACGTGGTGCTGAGAATCAAACCCAGTGCCTCACACATGCCAGGTTAGTGTGCCACTGCTGAGCCCCAGCCCTAGCCCCAGCCCTAGCCCCACTATTTCACAATTTTGTAGAGAAAAAAGTTAACTAGTAGAAAAGTTCTGGTTATGCCAATAATTCCTGTTTGTGGCAATGCAAAATAATTTCTCCCCGTAAAGAATCAAAATCTGTTAATCAAATCCTTATTTGAACAGATTGTAAGAAGTTCACATTCCCTGATGAATTAATAAGTAATACAAAATCTCTGTCACATGCTCATTTTATATTTGTATGAGAATCATCACTTTATTTCAGAAAATCATCCTTTAACATATTCCATTATTCAAACATGCATGGCACCTACTCCAGAAGAAGCCGGAAGTGGGAGATGTATGGGGACAGAACTCAAAAATGAAAGCTATTAATTTTTTTTAAGTTGTAGATGGACACGATACTGTTATTGTTTTATTTTTATATGGTGCTGAGGATCAAACCCAGCGCCTCACACACGCAAGTCTACAACCCCAGCCCGAAGGCTGTTAAATCTTATACAAAAGAAACTGGGGATGGGGCTTAAGTGTCAGTCATCTTCAAACTTACTCTAGGCAGAAATACATGAATTCCTATAAAATATTTTATTTCATAACTTAATCTTATCCAAGTATGGACACCAAGGTTTTGTTAATTTGCCCTAAATGACACTAAATACTCCTTTCCATGTGGGAAATTGATGATCTTTGAATTGCCCATGAACAAACACAGAGATCTGAGTGGGGCTGGTGGTTATTGACACTGTCTTGTTCTTTCTCTGGGTAGTTCCTTTTGTTCTTTTTGGAAATACTCAAGATGTCAGGAAAGTAAAAGGCAAAACTTTGCCCGCTAAATTCTTCCTGACTTACTGGGGAGCAAAGCTTGAAGGCTGTAATGCCGATCAGAGCCCACAAGGCAAACACCTTCTATATAAATATATATTTATTTGTTTATTTTAGTTGTAGATGGATACACTATCTTTATTTTTATTTATCCATTTTTATGTGGTGCTGAGGATCAAACCCAGGGCCTCACACGTGCGAGGCAAGCGCTCTACCACTGAGCTACAGCCCCAGCCCGGCAAACACCTTCTTGATTAATCTCTCACCATGAATAAGGACGTCACATTAGGAAAACATTGAAAAGACTGATGCCTATGCTGGGGTGTTTTAGTCTCTCCAGTGGTCACTGGAATACAGGAGGCAAATAAGATTAGAAAAGGAGAGAAACCTGAGAGAAAAGAAGCTCAGACTCTGGATTTTGATGTCCATCCCAGAATGAATTGCACTAGACTTTAAGGAGAGAAAAGACAACAGAACAACAAGAAAGGGCTCCCTTTCTACCCGCCTTCCCCCCAACAATCAGTGAAGGGAAGACAGGCCCCGTTCAGATATTCTTACCCCTGAGTATGGGAGTGATGATGGTAGACAACAGACTTCCAGCATTAATGGCCAAATAAAAGATGGAGAAAAATCTGTTTCTTTGCTTTTCCTGTCATAGAAAAGAGAGGTGAACATGATGACCTGGGCTTGGGATCATCTGAGCAGATGGAGCTGTTATCTGACTTGACTTCTGACAGCTTTGGTCAGTGTCTTACTTTCAAGCATATTTGAAAATGATGGAGTGGAGAACAGACTGAGTGCCCGTGGGTTTGATCCCTGGAGGGTTATTACTCATTGACGTGCTTTCTGCTGAGACATGTGTTCTTACCTGGCCCTCTTCAAATTGATCACCGCCAAATGCAGACACACAGGGCTTGATTCCTCCTGTACCAAGAGCTATCAGGGCCAGGCCGATCATGGACAGCGCCCTGGAGAGAGGAGGGTTAGGGCTAAGGTGGCAGGACTTTAGAAGAGGGAGCCTGTCCCCTGATTCATATTTTATCTAATAACTTATCATCCAGAAAATTGAAAGCAATAGCTTGATATTTGAGCAAAGACTTATGTGTGGAATCTTGTAGCCTTATCTCTTCTAGCAAAAGAATGGGTAAATGAAAAATGCTAATACAGGGATTGGGAGGATGCTCAGGGGTAGAGTGCATGCTTAGCATCACAAGGCCCTGGGCTCAGTTTTCAGTGCATGTGCACACACAGAATGTTAACTGGACAAGTGTAAGCCCTGCATCTTATGCAATAAAAATGGACTCATAGTAGTCATTAAATGATGTTAGAAAACAGGATTTCATTACAAAGCAGAATATCAGTTTATAGAATGATCTTAATTTGCTTACAAAGTACAGAAGACTGAAAAGAAATTGAGCAAAAGATTGACTATGCCAAGATCCCTGCCTATCTCAAGACTAGCAAAGATGCTATGTTCAGCTCCATGGTCTAGACAGCAAGATGGTGCAGAAGACCCTATCTCAAAATAAAAATGAAAAGAGGCTGGGAGCCCAGTGCAGTGGCGCACACTTATAATCCCAGTGGTGCACACCTATAATCCCAGTGGCTGGGGAGGCTGAGGCAGGGGGATCATGAGTTCAAAGCCAGCCTCAGCAAAAATGAGGCACTAAGTAACTCAGTGAGACCTTGTCTCTCAATACAAAATAGGGCTGGGGGTGTGACTCAGTGGTCAAGTGCCTCTGAGTTCAATCCCCGTACCAAAAAAAAGAAAAAAAGAAAGAAAGAAAGAAAAAAAGGCTGGGATGTAGCTCATTGGTAGAGGGTTTGCCTAGCACAACAACACCTTGGGTTTAATCCCTAGCACTGCAAAAAACAGAAGTTTATTTTTATGTCCAAGTGGTAGAATTACAGATTATTTTATCTTAATTTACTTTTGTATTTTTCAGGTTATCTTAAGCATTTTGTTTCCCAAATTTAAAAAAAAATCATGATATTTATCAGTTCTCTTTGTAGTTTTATTAAATTTGCATTTGGGTACCACAAAACTCACATGACAAACATCAATCCTATATCTTCTTGTTGCTAGTGTGGCTTAAAAACACTTTTTAAAAAGTCATGAAACAGATATGGGCATGGTGGTGCACACCTATGATCCCAGCCACTTGGGAGGCTGGGGCAGGACGATTGCAAGTTCAAGGCCCACTTCAGCAATTTTTTGAGGTCCTAAGCAATTACTGAGATCCTGTTTCAAAATAAAAAATAAAAAGGGCTGGGAATGTGGTTCAGTGGTGAGGTATCCCTGGGTTCAACCCCGAGGACAAAAAAAAAAAAAAAAGAAAAAAGAAAGAAAAGAAATAGATAAAGTGAAGGCAGATATTACACAGAGAAAGAATCCTTTAAAAGTCACGCATCCCTAATTATTCTTCCTGAGTTCACTAACCCAAGTTCCTGTTCCTCTTTGAATCTGTTTGCCTCTTAATATAACTTACATTTGAAGTGGTCATTCAAAGCATTTTAAAGATAACAAAAACCTGGTCAGTTGAATATTAGATCCTATTTTTACTCTTGTGAGAACTTTAGGGGTGTTCTAACACTAACTGCATGAAATAAAAAACACACAGCTAAGATCTCTTGAGCACCTGTCATCTCTAGGCAGTTCTGGGAGTTCTTCCTGGATTAAACCATGCAGCTCTAGCAGAGGTCAGTACTGATACAAGTGAGGAAACTGAGGCCTAGAGGACCAGACACCTACTGAACACCACACAACTAGTAGGGCACCACCAGATCTGAACCCAGCCTGTCTCCAGTCTATGTTCTTAAAATGACAGTTTACTCAAGGTCATGTCCCTGCTCTGTGGGAAAGCTGGGCTCAGACCCCCGAAGTCTGAGCTGCCTACTGCGCTCATCGCCACTCTCCTCACCAACAACACTGTTCCTCCAGGCACAAGGGGAGGCTCCAGGGCCACCATCTGGTCTGGACAGCAATGATCAACTAAAGTCAGAGATGTGGGCATTGTGGATATGAACTTGAGTTTCAATTATATTTACCCAGCCCAGGAGATCAAAGAGCTTAAGCTCAGGGCAGGAGACAATCTTCATAATTAGTCTCCAAGGCCAGGCAACAGAGAGGGGAATGAACCCGGGAGAGGAGCAATGTCCACACCACTTGCCATCAAGAGTCCAGAACAGATAGCTGGGATAAATATTTATAAAACGGAATTACTAAAAAATAAGCAGATATGTGGTACAGGAGAGGTACCAGAGTCTCGAGGAGACCAGTGGTGTCAAGGACCAAGGCCTGTGAGAGCCACGTCCCTCTAGGGAAACCCAGGGCAAACACAGGTACCCTGCCCACTGACCACACATCAAGTGGGTTATCATGACCCAAGAGAGCCAAGTCAAAACAAGCAACTGTTACGATGGAGGCATACTGCAAACCTAGCTCTCCATCCAAAACACAGCTTTTCTACACCACCAGAGGGAAGAGCAGCCGCCCTGCTCTCGTGGGGACATTGAGGAACAAGATGAAGCATCAGGACACTGACAAGCAGCCAGTGGGAGGGCGGGGAGGCAGCAGCGATCATCGACTCACACATGCACAGGGAGGCTGTCGGGGGTCCCCTCGTGGTTGTAGTCCGTGAGGTCGTTAATTGAGCTGATTGAGATGATTCCTTGTCCAATTGTGTAGACAATGGATAATGATATAATCGTCCTGAGTTTAGAAGGTTAAGAGAAGCCTGGTTAATTGTATGACGGCTGTCCATTTCCCAGCCTCCTTCCTTCAAAGTTTATAACAGCCCAGTCATAGACTCCTGTTTCTCAACTTGGGTAAAACTGGTCACCTCTCAGAAAGGTGTAGAGCAAAGTTTTGGCTAGAGGACCAGGAGAAGGGGAAAGTCGCGTTGGCATACTCTCTGAACTCTTTCTGCAGGGCTGGATAGGAGCTTGTCAGGGCTCCCTTATGTAATGGGTCAACTCAGCAACCAGGGTGTGACTCAGGCAGGGTAATGTCTTCCCAGCCCTGAGCTCTGTGTCTCAGATCACTGATGATATACAGGATCCCTGCCTATCACAAGACTAGCAAAGACACTATGTTCAGCTCCAGGGATATGGCGTCGAGCAGAATCAAGATTGCGGATGCTTTCCCAAAAGTCTGGATTCCTTCATTCCCCGATTCCACCATCCCAAACCACATGACTTACATTTTGGCTTGTTAACAAGAAAGTTCCAATCACTTACTTAAACTTCCCCAGCCATGAGTCGGCGATAAGAGCTCCGAGAATCGGCGTCAGGTAGCACAGGGCGACAAATGTGTGGTAGATGGCCGTGGACAGGTTGTCATCCCAGCCAATGAAATTTGTGAAGTACAGAATCAGGATTGCTTTTTGCAGAGGACAGGAAGAAGAGGAGGGAGAAACAGAGTCAGGGCTGGCTACCACCACTCACGTCCTTCACCAAAGGGCAAGAAGTGGCTAAGAGTTACCTCTCATTCCATAGTAGGAGAATCTTTCACAGAACTCATTGACCACGATGAAGAAGATGCTCAAGGGGTAACCAAAGCAACTCTGACAAAAAGAAACACAGTGGAGGATCCAGGTGTGCTCTCCCAGGCACAAACTAGTGCCAGTGGCGAGGAAAGTGGCCAGTGCATAGTCAGTAAATTATCAGCGACTATCCAGAGGCAGAAACTTGAATTTTATCATTTTTATTCCCTTAGATTAGTTGTTCCAGATAGAAATAGCAATGAGCTAAAGCAGCAAGGTTTACTGTTAGCCAAGCGGGAAGTACACAGCACTCCTAAGGAAGGCCAGCTCTGCTTGATGCCGGATGCACGATACATACATGTTTAGGGAATGAAGCAAAGTCATGAAAAACTAGGAGTAAAATAGACTGTAAAATTAACAAAGTGAAGGCAGATGGAGAAGGAAAAAGCACACTCACCCATGGCTTGGACATTCCTAAAAGAAAAATGAAAAGTTGATATTAAATTTAAGTCAATACAATACTTTTTTCTGCAGCTAAACTCAGAGCCCTTGGCTTCTCGGGGCAGCCAGAGGAATGGTCCCCAACACAGCTGCAGCCCTCTCAGCCAACCCAGCCCCAGCCCCAGCCCCAGCCCTCATCTGGAGTGAGGCTGGGCCTCCGTCTGGTCTTTTAACGAGAGCCTCAGGCAATTCTCGTGTGTGGTTGGAAGAGAGACCAGAGCTCAAAGAATCCTGCCCAAACCATTTCCTCCCGAAAACACTTCAAAGAGCAACAGGGCAAAATGGAACCATTTTACTATGTTCCTTGGTATCTTACAAGGTCACCAGATACCTGTGAGGACAGTGTAGTGGAGGTGGAAAATGTTTTCAAGGGCCACCGTGAAGGTTCAGCCATTGCTCCCTGTCCCCGGCCCTGCCTTCCTTCCAGTGCCCTCGCCACGAGCAGACACTCCAATGACACTCCACTGAACCCATGCAGTGTACACTCAGCAAAGTCCTTGCCCTTCCTGCCCATGCTTGGGTCTAGCCTCTGAGGTCCCTTCGCACATCACAGTGTGAAAACAGGCAGCTCACACTCTTGCCTCCATGTGGATTGAGTCCCTCCCACCAGCGTTGCCACATGCCAGCCTTTTTCACAATACCTCCCACTAGTAGGGGCTGTTGTCAGGGGAATGAATTCAAGGATCAGGAGGAAAAACTGGAAAATACAAGCGAGTCCAGGCAAATCCATAGACTCGACTGCCTAAACCTGAGGCAGGTCCCCATGACCTCAGGAGAAGCGCCAGAGCCCTGCTTCTCTCTCTCTCTCCCCTGAGTTTTGACTAGTAGTGACCTGAACCCAGAGTAGTCCTGGCACCTCCGTGCCTTGCTCCCTATACACATGTCGCCCTATATTTATCACTGCCAGTCACTGCTACGCCCTTCCCCTGGGGGACCAGCCCCTTTTCCCTCCCATTGGTCTCATCTTAGAGTTCTGGAGCTGCTTCCATTAGGGATATGTGGGTCTTAAACAGAAGGGGGTCTTAAACTTGGGTGAGTCTCAGAAACACCAGGTGACTTGTGAGAACCACTGCTGGGCTATGTCTTCACAGCTGCTAACTCTGCAGGACTGGGGTGGACATTTGAGTTTGCATTTCTAACTGTGAGCTCAGGCAGCACGCTGGGAAAACCACTGCACTGGAGAATTAAAAATGATCCTTAAATCCCTATAGTGCCCCACAAGTTGCACACTGCAGCAGAGTTGCCCATTTGAAGAGCAGCTTCCTTGGAAACCAGTGCCAGCCACCGTGGCTTTTGCCTGAGGAAACTGACTTTTCTCTCTACTTAAGGATTGGCATTTCTAATGAGTTCCAAGGAGAGGTGGGTGCTGGGACCACACTTTGACTTTTTTTTTTTTTTTTTTTTTTTTTGTGGTGCTGGGGATTGAATCCATGGCCTTGTACATGTGAGGCAAGCACTCTACCAACTGAGCTATTTCCCCAGCCCTAGGGACCATACTCTGAGAAGCACGTGTAGGCTGTGTTGTCCTGTTGCTCATGGATTTCCGTAAGTCAATTTCATCACTTCTCCGGCTCTGAGTACCAGAGAGACCAGCTGCCCAGAGCAGAGAGCAAATATAGAAGAAGGACACAGCTCCCCACCTCAGTTTCTGCACTGTTCCCATTTGGGGCCCTTCCTTGAAGATTTGGGTTGTATTTTCATTATGTGTAACTCCAGAGCTCCATTCCACATATACACAACCGCAGCTTCTCTGGGCAGCTCCCTTCTTACCCACGTGGCTCCGCACAGCTTCCAAACTGGTACCCACTCACCTCCTGGGCAGGAGCATTCCCACCTGTCCCATTACATTGTGCTGGAGTTATCTCTGTCTCCAGCTCAGCCTGGCCCCAGGGGCCTCACACCAGAGGGCCTTAGACTTTTGCCTACTTAGTATTTTAGATGCAATCTTACTCCTTACTCTAAGGAGGGAAATACACTGTCCTGATCTCACAAAACCCTAATCCTCGACTTTTCCTGCTACTTAAGTTCTAGGTGGAGATTTCACAACACTACCAACCTGGTTTTCGCCCTAGTTAGACTTCCTTGGGGGAAGGCATCTTCCAGTGGCCACACATGAAGAATAAGGGCTGCAGACTCAGACCTGTGACTGACTCTCAGTTCTACTTGCCAGTTGTGGCCTTAGACCAGCCAGTCTTTCTTCTGAAGCCCAACAATCAAGGAAGATCACACCGCCACCTTGTCGGGCTGCTGTAAGAATTCAGAGCTTGGTGCATCAGAATTGGGAGATGCTACCACTTCAGACTCTTCCACAGAGTGGAAATTAAATGTTGTTGAATAGGCCTCCAAAGAATCCACTCTATCAGTTACCAATACAAGGATCAGATTCTGGCTCTGCCACTCGTTGGTTCCACTCACCCCCATAGGCCTAGCAGCTTCCCTCGCCCCTTGAGGCCGACCTGCCTGGATCACAGCAGTGTCCCCATGGCCCACCATGGCTTCCATTAGGTTTAGCAATGGAGAATCCTGGGCAGATCAGAAGGAGGGAGGAAAAATCAGAGTATTCATTTTTTTCTGGCACCCTCCTTACCAAGTCCCCTCAGACTGGCTGTGTCCTCAAGTGACAGTCACTGCTACTCTGAGGCTGTCCACTGCACCATGACTCTCTCTCTCTCTTTCCAGTTTTCATGACTTCCTTCCCCCATCCCCCAGGTCTCGAGGTGGTAACAGGGAGACCCACTATCGTTTGTGGACCCTCACCCCACATTGTCCAAATGGCCTTCTTTAAACAAACCGTCCTTTTGAGTATGCCACACGATTCCCAAGGGGACCCTGGTGATGTGGTGCACCAGCTGCAGACTCTACCTGCTGCCATCTTGCACTACGAGACAGGAAGGAGTTTCCCTTGCCAGAGAAATTGGAAGGACCCATTGTGCAAACAGTTTTTTTAAAAAAGCTGAATCATGAACCACGCTATTGGTATCACTCAGAGCCCTATTTTGGTGCATTGGTTTTGTGCTTTCTCAGGACACAGCCGTAGCCTGCAGCACCTGCCTACTTAGGCTTCAGACACCCTGGCCTCACCATTGCCTCCAAGACAAAGCAAGGGGCGAGGCCCACACAAAAGCCCATCCATGGCAAAGCAGGAAGAGGGCTGAAACCCAGCCAGGAGACGGCCAAGCTTCATCGTAACATCCTCCTGTGCTCCTCAGAATTTTGGTTCACACAGAAAGACTTCATTTCTCTGGGGTGACCGTGCTTTCTTACTAAATATCAATGTATCACCTAATATCTGTTAAATAATATTTACTTCAAACATAAATTGGAGTACAGAAAAGAGACCAAAGTGTTCAGGGAGCTTAGACCTTATGTGAACAATCATCACACTCAGAACCAAATCAGGAAAAAAAATTCCTGAACTCACTCAAGCGTGAGCACTGGTCCTGGTCACCACTCAGGAAGTATTTTATGTTCTGAAAGGCAAGTATTACCGAGAACTACTTTTATTGTACAGGGTGGAGGCTGCTGAGCTCATCTGTTATAGAATGCAGAGCTATCTGCTGGACCTCTGCTGCAGTCAGCGCTTCTTATCTACGAGACCTGCGACAACAAGGTTGCTATCTTGGAAAGGCCAAGTGCAGCACAGTGCACAAAATCCCAACTGTTTACCTGGGTGCAATTGTGCTTGTAGCTGGTATCCTGGCAGTAAATCAAGTGGTCCCATGTGTCTGGAATGGCTCTTAGATCACTCAGATTTCAGGACTGATTAGAGCCAAGCCTAGAATCCAGACGCCTTGTCTAGGGAGCTGAGCCGGCACCATGAACTCAGAACAAACGCTGGTCCTTACTGTTACTCTAAGCCTTGAAGTGGTTTTGCCTTTCTTTTGTTCAAAACAATTTCATAAGTGTAGATTATACATTTCTAGATTATTGATTTGGGGGAGTGGTGTGGGGAGACAGAGAAAGCAGGAAGAAAATAAGAGACTCCACTGATCCCTACTACTTAGGAAAATCTCTCCATTAATATGAATATTTTCTACTGTTTATAAAACAGCTTGTTTCATATTTTGAATCATTTAGGGACAGAATCTCCAGTTTTAGTGTTTTACTACCTGGAAATCATTGGTCACGAGTGGACTAACAGTGGGAAGGTGTTGTGCGCAGTCAGCTGTCGTGTGAGGTTGGGGAGCGTATTTGCACAAACCAGGTGGGACAGCCCACCACGCACCTAGGATCTAGGGACACCTTAGGGGAATATATGCTCTGACATCTACCCGAACGTTACGGGCGCATGACTGAACTCCCTCAGCGACACAAACAGCACAGACAGTGCGATTCTAGGAGCTGGACTTGGGAAGTTGGAAGGAAGGAACGAGGCACTGTGCTGGGGCCTGAGAGAGCGCTCACCTTACCCTCAGGGGCAGGTGTCTCCTGTCCCTACCTAGCACCCAACTGAGGGAACAGCATCCGCTCTTCATGTTTTAGGAATGGTTTTTGAAGTTGTATGGTGGTGTAGACAGAAGAGTGTCCCAGAGATGTCCACATTCTAATCTTGGGAATTGGTGGATATGTTTCCTTCCAGGGCAAAAGGGACTTGGCAGAGGTGGCTAAGGACCTGGAGAGGCGAAGCTGATCTTGAGCTATTCAGTGGGCCCGATACAATCACAAATGACCTACAAAGAGAGAACATGAGGATGGAGGCAGGGGCGCGAGCAATTGCTCGGGGGGAGAATGAGCCATGGGATGTGAACAGCCTGAGCATCTGGAAAAGGCAGGGAAATGGACTCCCGAGAGCCTTTCCAGGGCAGCCCCAGTGGCCTCTTGCTTTAGTCCAGTAAAACCCATATCAGACCTCCTGAGCTTTACAGTGCCATCGTCTGCCAAACCATACAGCTCGGCTGCACGATGGGAAGAAGTGGTTTTGGCGTTCAGGTGAGAACTTTCTCAATGTGCCCTGCATCAGGAGGTGGAAGGATGCCAACCATTGGAACTGGGAAGTGGAACAGGAGTGCAGAGACGTTCTTCCTAGCAGTGCAGCTTTGTTCCAAGTGCTTGACCCTGGGGTCTGCATTCCTTCACCCAAAGAAGGGACCTCTTCTGCAAGTCACTTAACAAGACTGAATCCACATGAGTAAGACGAGGCTTGTTATTTATGGCACTCACGGAGACAACAGTGTAGAGTTTTCACCGAGCCTGGACTGAGGTTCAGAATGGACTGACTTAGAATTAAAAACAGACAAGAATTCACTGTGGGGTGGCTCTCAAAGAAGAGGCAGCTCCTTCCAGGGTCACTCAAATTGACCCCAAAGCAGAAAGGCCTGATGATGTCTCCCTGGGAAGTGAGGCCACAGGATGCTGTGCCAGAGACAGCCAGTCTTCCTCAACGTGAGCCACCTGGCAAACCTGGCATTTTCTGCCGAGCTGCTCTCCAGGTGGACCGTGCTGCCACGTACGACACGTGGGATTCTGACAGCTGAGAAATGCCGCATGGCTTCATATCGTATGACCTCTCTCCCTCTCTCTTTTAAAGAAAGTAAAGTGTGCAGCACATTAAGGAGAGCCCAAAGGACACAAACCAGGCTAAACTGTGACAGACTGGAGTAGGGGGAGGGGGGAGGGCCTGAGGTCACTCACCACATTCAATTATTTTCCAAAACACATAGGCTTCAGTCAAGTAATGAAAGGTGCTTTTCTTTCCTTAGACGGGCTCTTCTACCACCATAGCCAGGTCTGCTTAAGAATAAACGCGCATGCGTGACCTAAGTGCTTGCCCTGGACTGGCTCTGTGGACACTGTTTCTTGATTTAATTCTTTTTTTCCATGTTGAATTTGAACGTGTTGCCACATTTCCCAGCCCCAGGGTCACTGCTAGTCCATATGGCATTTCTGTGTTTGGGAAAGCGTAACCTCTTAGGCTGATGCTGCCAGAGGTATGGCTTCACAAATGGACAGAGGCTCTGTCCTAGTAAGAAGAGGTGCCCCTTGGAGGCTGCGCTGCCTGGTGAATGGGGCAGGGGCTGTATTCCATGCCCCCAGCTCCACCTGCTGGGACCTTCCTGTGGGGCAGGGCCACATACCTGTGGGTTATATGTCGATTGTCCCTCCTGGAAGCACTGACCTCCATTCCCATTCGGGGCACCTGTATTCCCCTGCTAGCTCCTCACGTAGCCACTGAATGGCACATGCTGACGTGCCATCTCCAGAGCACCACCTACATCAAGCTTCCCTTGGCGCTGCCGCTCAGTGCCTGTGGATCATCAGGCCTTGAGGACAGGGAAAGTCGACAGAACTCCCATGACACAAAGTTACTTTTTAGAGCTACAGGGAAACCCGTGCTAATGGGGGAGTGTGGGTCCTAGTCAATGACCTTGGCATGATGCTACCAAGATCAGCTCAGCCCTGAGGACCCAGCACACGTCCACACATGCCACCAGGCGAAAGCTTGCCCATAGCTGATCTGAGTCTGGGTGGATGCCTGGTGGGTGAGAGGCCCTGGAGGGGCTCTGCCGACCCCTCACCAGCTGAGTCCTAACCAGGTGGGGCTTCTGCCAGCCCCAGAACTGCCAGAGAATGCAGAACATGCCACCACCTAGCTACCACTTTGCACCAGCTCCTTGGCAACACATTGCAGTGTGTCACTTATTGCTTTAGGTCTCTGAGCCTCAGCACCCAAACACCTCTGGACATGTTCAGAATCTCACAACCCACTCATCAGCCCCTGTGAGGTTTTGGAGTCATCCTTTCCGTTATCGGGGGCAGGGAGCTGGAGAGCTGGCATCTGGGGTCACTCCCCCTGCACCATGTGAGGGGTGGGCTAGCGCACTGTGTCTTTTTCATCCATCTGTC